TAAAAAATTGTCTCACATACAACTTCTGTCCACAAATTTAATTTTAGAGTAGCTTTACCTCATTTTTTTTATCATACTCTTAATTTCGTCTTATATACCTTTTACAACCTAAATACTCTTGAGATCTGATTCTGAATTTGTTCTCTCCACCTAATATTACTGTCCTTAGAAATAATTGAAACAATTTTGTTTATATAAAATATGGTTTTAATTTTTCTTCTTACTAGTTACAGAATAAAATTGGCACACATGATAAAAGTGCTTCAAATATTAACAAAAACGTATTTTATTAAAATTTTAAAATCAACAAATTTATGAATTCTTAAGCATATAGTTAAACCTAAGTCTTAGAATTAAATGATAATTTTGTGTATTTTTACTACACAAACGTCAATATAAAATCGAATTAAATGCATGAAAAATAAATAATGATGAAAAGTATCTATGCCAAAAAATGATGAAAATATTAATACCAATAAATGATGAGTAGAGTCGTTAAACAATACATTTGATAATGGCTTTTAAATTTCAGTTGATGGAAATCAATTGAAATTATCTTAACCAGTAAGTTATTGCACAAAATACATTAAAGTTAATATAATGAGATTATATTACGTATTTTTTAATATTAAGAGCTTGTTTGATGGTATAACCACTAATTGATCTCACCGGGTTATTCTGAAATTAAAAAAAAAAACGAAATTAAATGTTTTGAATTATTTGATAAAATCTTAGTCAATATTGATTTCGATTGATCTTACATTGTATACATATAGTACTTTGAAGAACTATCAGGTGTTTCTGGTCACTATGCTTCTTGGTTCCTTGTTCGATAAGTCAGTATCCTGGCATCAGGTGAGGGTGGTGGTTGGATGATGATGCTTTGTTGTGGTGCTTTTGGGGGAAACTGGAGCAGGTTTATAGTTGTAGTTGTGGTTAGCTGCTTCAGCTGAGTGTTCACTAACGGCGTGTAAATGCTAAAAGATTGACAATATCGATGATCAGTATAAGCTAAACTATTAATTATTGTATGGTGTGTGATTGTTTTTGAATAAACGAATCTTCAGAATTTCTGAAGACACTGTTTTTGATGGTTGAATTTAATTGTAAACATTAAATTATATTGATTAGGGAGAACAAAACATAGCATCACAATCTCTGATAATTAATGTTACCCAAACTGTAAGTTCAGGTTTCTAAAAACTAGAGCTATTTATATATAAGCATTTTTTCATATTTATATTTTTCATTATTAACAGCAATCAGAACTTAGTAGTTCTTAGTTAGGTTGTAGTGACATTCTTAATAACGTGGCTTTTGTCGAGACAACCCAATACTTAAACAATAAATATTTGATGGAATTTTTTATTGAAGAAAGCGCTATCTTTCCTTAGGAGCATTGCTATCAATATTTTCAAACAAAAACCTATTTCACTACTGCTTGACATCAGGCTGTCCGAGGCAGGCATCAAACCTGGAACTTCTGATTGGATGCCCATAGTTCCAACCACTAAACTATGCAAAAGCCTAATTTCTTTAATTATGTGGTCAATGGTTGCTTGTTCTCTTGGGTTCTTCTATGAGTCAGTGGTTGGAGCTTTGGGATTTTAATTAAAGATTCTGGTTTGATGCCAGCCTCGAGTAGCCTGATGTCAAACAGTAGTGACATCGGTTTTCACAAGGAAATATAGATAGCAATGTTTTCCAAATACAAATAGCCCTTACCTGCTTCAATACAAAATTCTTCACTATTACAGAAATTGTACTTATAAAAAAATCATCTCATAGAGATGGAACAACTCTTTGGGTTGCCATTTATAAAACTGACGTAGTTAAGTCAAATCATCAAAACAACTCATAGAAACCTTAACTTCTGATCGCTGCTCATGCAATAATAGAAAAATGTTCTCATGTTATGATAGCTCTCAGTGTTTTATGTGAAAAATTAGCTAAATGTGCTCAATGTCTATATATCAAACTGTTTTAAATTCGACTCAATATTATTTTACTTCCATTCTGTCCTAGTGCTTTTTGATGAGATGATCATGTATCAAAATTAGTTACTGAAACTTCAAACAAAATGATTTATCAGTCAAATGAACAAAATTCGTGTTTGGTGTTTCGTGTTTACCTTGGTTTGACAAATAAGAGCTGACCTGTTCGGCTTCGTAAGATGCTTGATGGAGATCAGCTTGGTTGTTGGTTTCGTGTAATCCGACGGTGGCGTGAACAGCTGCCTCAGCTGCGTTGTTCTGGGCAGCTTGAGCCGAATTAGCTGCGTTTTGGGCTGCCTCTTGAGTTGCCTAGAAGAAGGAAGAATTAACTTAGGGAAATAAATTTTTGCATTTATTATTGACCGCCAACAATTTTGATGATTTCAATACGTCATTGGGCCTGGAAGAATTATCTTATTAGCATTCATGATAGATCTTCAACATTCATAAAATTTATTTTATTTCTTTACTAATGTAAAGGTCGTTCTCCGATGCCACGACGTTATTCTTGCATCAAGTATGGTTTCTTTGATTTTACATAAAACTTGGTTTCTATCTGGAAAATTGATATTACTTCACTATCGCATTTATTATCTGTTACCTGAAAATCCACTCTAGCTTGGTGCAATTGTTCGTCAATGTGTTCAACGCGGTTTTTGGCAGCTCCAACCATTGCGGTTTGAGAGGCCATTCGGCGGCAGCTTCTTGGGCAGCTTGCTGGCTGTGTTCAGCAGTTGCTTGGGCAGTGTTCAAAGCAGCAGTAATCACATTTACCTAAATCAAATACATTTTTTTTATTAAAATTATTAGTTGAAGTAGTATGTGTCCAAATTAGTCCACTTAGGTAGGTAGGAAACAAATATTCTGATTGAGGAATCTAGATTATGGATAGTAATCTAGTAAGTAAAGGAACAAAATATTCTTGGTATTTGTTTATATACGGTGGTTAAGTGACTAGAGCGACTGGACCTGAATCAGAAGTTCCAGGGTCGAACCCGCTGCGCGGAGCCTGGTACCGGTCTGTAGTGACATCTGTTTTTATTTGAAAATATAGATAGCAATATGTTTCCAAGTGAAAATAGCCTTATCCGGATTACTACATCAATCAAAATATTTGCCCTATTATCGAAATTGTAATAATAAAATGTATCAAGAGATGAGACAAATATTTGGGTTGCCGTCTGTAAAACAGACGTAGTATTAAGTCAAATCAAGCGCTAACAATTGCCGACTGAATACATCTTAAAAAATTTTGCCGTTTAACTAGAAACAAGCATGAGTCATTTTTTGATTTGGATAAATAAATTATCCATGATATTTTGTAACTTCGGTTGAATTCGGTTAAATTATCTAAACAACTCACTCGATCAGTTAAAAAATTATGAAAATTCTTTTGGGGGGTCAAATTAAGACTAAAGTATTTATCGGATTCAATAGGATTCAGTCAAACATCAGATGGATGAATGAAATTAAGTATAATTTTTTTTAATGTCGTGATGGCTACGAACATTTGCAAGTTGCATATTCAATATTAAACCAAACCGTGAAGATCATCAGCATCGTTTTATCATCGTTATAAACCGTCTATCTCGTTCTTAATCTTTACATAATTACTTTATTGCATTTATTGTAAAACTAACGATTTTGTTTCCAATGATTTAATTA